CTGAACCACCTGAGGAGGCACAAGGAGAACCAGGCTAAAATCCAGGAACTCAACAATCAGATCCAGGCTCTTATGCAGATGAATGGAACCAAGAGGGATTCATCAAATTCCAAACAGACTTTTATTTCTCCTCAACGCAATAAGCAACAGCCTGATGAAGATACACATGAAACGAAACATACAGTGAAATCAGAGGAGACAGATGAAGAACGACCATTCGCCTGTGATCAGTGTGGACGTACATATCGCCACGCAGGAAGCCTGGTCAACCATAGAAACTCCCACAAGACGGGCGAATACTGCTGCTCTGTCTGTAACAACACCTACTCCAATCAGTTAGCTATGAAAAACCACATGCGAACCCACTTTGGGTTAAAAAAGCACTTGTGCCAAAACTGTGGAAAAGGATTTAGAGGAAAGAAGCAGCTTTTAGTGCATGTCTGCTCAGCTCTTAGACATGATGGCTTCAAAAGGAGAAGAGGACTTAAATCTAAAGAATGTAAAAAGACCTTTGTCTCTGTTCGCCAGCTGACTGCTCACATGTGTGAAACTCCGTCAAACTGTAATGAAACAAATTTGTCGTCCGGCAAAGAGGAGCGCCCTTTCACCTGCAACATCTGTAACCGCAGCTACCGTCACGCAGGCTCTCTCCTGAACCACAAAAACACCCACAAGACGGGCAACTTCAGCTGCACCTTCTGCTCCAAGCCCTTCACCAACCCCATGGCTCTACGCAACCACACACGCATCCACACGCAGAAGAAAAAGTTTGTGTGTCTTACCTGCGGGAAGGCCTTCCGGCTGGCCAGCATCCTTCACAATCACCAGAAGGTTCACAACCGCGTTGCAGGTCACTTCAGCTGCCATGTTTGTGGAAAGAGCTTCCAGGGAAGGTCTGGACTGAAAAGACATCGCTGCCGTAGGGGTCAGGGGAGTTCAACCAGAACTGGGCTAGAGCAAACGGAGAGAGGAGACAAGTGCTTCACGTGAGTTACTTATTACTGATATATAGTACTAGTACTTGATTCCCACTTACCTCGTTACAGTGCTCCGAGTTGTAGTATTTCTGAATGTGACCTTGTTCCTGCTGCAGGTGTGACCTGTGTGGACGCTCCTATCGTCACGCCGGCTCCCTCCTCAACCATAAAAAGACTCACTCTGAAAACCTCCATCACTGTACCTTATGTCTACAGACCTTTCCTGATTCTGTCACTCTACAGATTCACTCTCAGATGAGGCGTCATTGCTGCCCAGAGTGCGGCAAAACCTTCTGTGTGGTGGCACACCTGCAGAGCCATATGGAGGTGCATGTGAAGGAGCAAACCGTGGTGTGCAACCTCTGCCAGCAGAGCTTCCTCAGCAAAGATGGTTATCAGCAGCACCTGGACAGGCACCACAGGGAGCAGGGAACCTATACAGAAGCTGAGGGTGACACTATAAATAACCATTGCTGGAGCTCAGGAATTAATGGAAAAATGGGGATGGAAGGGATTCACAAACAAGTTCCACCGTCAATGTCCCATACTTCAGGTGACATCACAGACTCACAAAAAGACACAGACACAGAGGAGAAGAGTCACGTCTGTGAGCACTGTGGCCGCACGTATCGCCACGCCGGCTCCCTGCTCAACCACAAAAACAGCCACAAAACTGGCTCCTTCTTCTGCTCCATCTGCCAGAAAGAGTTTACCAACCTGATGGCCCTCAAGAACCACAGACGAATCCACACCGAGCCCAAGCGCTACCAGTGCTTGGAGTGTGGGAAGGCATTCCGTGTGTCTACCCAGCTCATATGTCACCGGAGGATCCACACCAAAGAGAAGCCCTTTGCCTGTCTGCTGTGTGACAAGAGCTTTTCCAGCAAATCCAACCTGCGGCACCACCAGAAGTTACACCAGAATACACAGAGGTATGACTCATCTTTTAGCATGGACGCCGACACCTTCATGGACCTGGACATGGGGTCGTTCCTGTAAAGTGTTGATGACTAGTTCTCTTATATATCCCTTATTTATCTTTCTATCAGTAATTGTAAATGAGTAGGGTTTTCTTTTCCCAGAAAGTGTTCCTTCTGAAGATGCACACTTCACTGCTGACTTACAGTCTTACCTCTATAACAGTTCATTCTTGTCTTTTTATAAGATCTGAATGTTTTCTGTAAAAACACAGATTCCCAGGTTGTTGGGCAGGTGATAAAACTTGTCTCTGAGAAAAAGAAAAAAAAGCCAAAGTAAAGAGTAAAAAAAAAAAAACAAGAGCCAGGGCCACAAAGAGTATTAACAGTGCCCCCCCTGCTATTATTCTGTATAATTGTATGTTCAGTGCCTCTGACAGTTCTTAGAAATAATACAAACGTATTTATCTTTGATCTCTTGGGTCTGTTTTGTTTTAAATAATAGCAGGCAACAGTCCTACACGGAGGACAAGCCTGTTATTATTTACAGAGAACTCTAGTCAGTTTAAGCACAGGCTCGGCCTTTCATTATAAACAAGTAAGCAATGATTCAGCGCAGTTGGAGTTTTCCTGCTGGTTAGTTCAACTGGTAAAGAAGAAACAGGCCATGTTGTTAGAACAAGCTGTTTTAAAGCACTGAAAATATTATTACGTCCTAAATTGTGTCGTGTTTTCATTAATTTTATTTAAATTAAAAAGCGTTTTATGCAGTGGCTTAATGTAAACATCAAGATTGTGGTTGTATTATTGGTGCAGCATGTGTACTCTGACGTGGTTGGATCACATACTCTCTTACTCTAACAACAGGGCTGTGCGTGAAAACCAACTGGAGTTCTCCATTGAGGCCAATATCTCTGGAAGCGTCCAAAGGCCTACGGCAAAGTGGTTTTGCTAAAATCCTATAATCGAGTAAATAGTTGTACTACTACTAATCATATTGAGTGATACTATATGTTTAAGAAATTATGTATTTAATAACTTATTGTTGTCATTCTGTGTCCATATTTTAAAAGTCACTTTTTATGGATGTTGTTTGAAAATAGGTCTTTGTTCACAGTGGTTAAATAGGCAGGAAGGAATGAACCAAGCAACACTCAGGGCCAACCTTTAAAAGGAACAAACCTGACGTGTCCAACATGTTGGTTGTCACTTTTTTATTTTTTATTTAACTTGTGATGCCATGGTTTTTGAAGTCCAACTCTAGTGGACAGCTACTGCATGAGTGACCTCAACAAAATCAGTCATGTAGACAAGCCAGTGCCTAAAATGTAAAGCGACTGTAGCAGATTTACTAACCTTGGTATACTGTAAAACATAACTGCTTTTTAAAAATTATATTTCTGATTTATTTCACCCTCAAATGTAAAAAAAAAAAGGATTTCAGGAAGGTGTTTATAAAATACAGTCAGATGAAAATGGTTTTCATGTTCACATTGACTGTATATGTGAAGTGGTCTAACTGTACACTGCAGTAGGACTGTAAACTTGGGAAGTAAACAGGAAGTACTCTCAGCTGGTTCCCGAGGTACTTCCTGTACATGGAAGATTGTGGGGAAACGAGGCGACTTGTACGGTTATTTTTAACTTCAGTAACTGTTTTTCCAAATAATTCCATTCTGAGGAAAATATACAGTACAGCATGACAGTGAATGGCACATATGAGTGGATGCCATGTGATTTACAGTTTAGCCATCCACTAGATTTTAGAGATAAAATCCTGAGGCCGGTTGCCACTGATTTGTTTAGTAACATTTTACCAAGAACAAAATCAAAGTCATGCACACTTTCAGAGACTGGTTATTAACACCATATTTTTTATTTAAATGCCAAATTTCTGCCAAGCGCAAGTTTATCTGCCAACAAGCCAGAACCATTTTTTCTGTGAGTTTTTCTTTATTTATTTGCCAATTGATTATTAATGTTGCTCTTTGAGCGGTTTCTTTGTGGAAAAAAGTGGGTACCAAGTGTTTATTTCAATGGCCTTTGTTCTACGAGAGTTTAACGCTATGTATAGGCTACATTTCATGTTTGTTCCTTTGGCACTGGTAAGATGGTTGATATACCTCACTGAAAGCCCTGTCTACCTAGTTCTGCTATTTTAATGCCTCACACAGCATAATTGTAGGAAATACAGTGTAACCACTCTGATGGAGAGCAGTTGTGAGACTGAATTAATGAAGCGTCAAGTTTAAGAATTTACTTGCAGGATTCCAGAAAGTGTTGCTCTGCAGTTTGTTCTTTCCCAAGAGTTCTATCTGCAAATGTGTAGTTGAAACCCTTACAGCCTCATGAGGACGGAGGTTCTGCACCGTAGTTCACCTCAGCTCATTTTGCGGGTCATGACTATTAAGCAATATGCTGAAAGTATTGTTTCAGTGCACGGACTGACTGTGTGTCATCTGTCTTCATTTGGGTCTAATGTTGCCACATTCTCCCATTATTCAGAAGCCTGAATAATTGTGTATTAATGTTTTTTTTGTTTGTTTTGTTTTTGTTTTTTTGCCTTGGTCGCCTGCATGTTAGAGGTCAGACCTTCTTCAGTTGGAAATGTAAACTGATTTTATTTTTGTACGATGTTCATGTTGTTGATTTCTGTGGCACTTATTGCATTCTCTGCTGGTTCATTGATCTCAGTCCCAGCCTGGTATTTGTGGTGTGGATGCTAATCTCAAAGCTCGTTGTAAATATCACCAACAGTAATCCCTGTACATTTAAAGGCAAGCATTTGTTGTACAGGAAGAAGAATGACTAGATTAGCTAATGGTGTGACAGAGGAACATTTGCCACACATTTTCTTTCTTTGAATTTAAGTGCTTGAAATGTCTGCCCGGTATTTAATTTATATTTATAAAACTATTTTGTCACTAAGAAGTGTAGATTTTTACTTCTTTGTTAGACCTTAGAGGCTTAGGGTACCAGCACATTATGGACAAAACTAGATGAAATAAATGAAAAGACTTGAAAACGCAGTGTTTGTAATTCTTAATTTTTGGGGGAATTGTTCATTTAATTTTGTGGTCCTCGAATTATTGTAGATTTGCGCGGTGACAAAAAATTTAGTAATTTCAAAAAAGCTGAAAAATTTCAGAAAAGACCGATTACAATTGAACTTTTTAGAACATTTTAAACATTTTTTAACATTTATAGTGTTTAAAGCTTTGTTTTATGTGTTATGTGACAAAGTTATAAAACGTGGTTATTGATATTTAAAAAGGTATGTTTTGTTTTTGTTTGTTTTTGCAACACTTGCAACAGTGTATTGTTTCAGGTCAACTTTACAAATATGTAGATTAAAAAATCCTTTATTCCTCCAATAGTGTATTCCCCCCACAAATCATACATATTATCATGCATAGCGTAGTATCGTCTCTGGTCGATTAATGCTTGACATGTGTTTTTAGCATAGCATTTTGAGACACTTGTTGATGTCACATATCCCGTCATGCATTACTCGAAATCAAAGCCGCCATATTGAAAGGTAATTGCGTTTACTGAGAGCTGTGAGTGCTCGCAGGTAAAGTTGAACATGTAAATTAATTAATAAGTATGGCAGATTCCAGAAAGTGTTGGACGAGCGAAGAGACGGGCATTTAACATGGTCCCAAAAGGTCCATGGAAGGATGACAACATTGGACAAGCGCAATTAAACGAGCCAGAAGCGGTCTGAAAAAACGGAGCGGTGGGACATCACAGGCAACGGCTTCCGCTTATGCAGCGATCACCTTATATCAGGTAGATTAAATGAAAAAAAAGTTTATTGATCTCGCATTGAGACATTCTTGTGTTAACAGCAGGTCTGCTTCAACAGGCTACCCCGACGAGACGTCAATTTCGTGGTTCCTCATGGGCTTGTACGTACCTACTGCATGGAAGACAGGTGTGTAAACCAAGTACTTGATAAGCCATGTGATATGCTGACGGTCATTCAGTCGTTGGGATTGATTCACCTGAAATACGATTTTTTTAGTACTTGCCTCACAGCTCATTTTTATCATAAAGTAACACATGACTTGGTGATTTTAGAAAGTCATTCATTGTTTGTTAACTAAATGTCAGGTTTTTATCAGACATGCAGGGGTAGTGTGGTCTATTAAAACTTTGAAAAAAAGGGAAATTAAATTATGACTTTAAATTATAAATTGTAAAAAAAAAATTTCAAAAACGTATATCCAAAGTAAGATTATGCCCTAAATTGTTTACCCAGATGTTTGTCTCAGGAAATTTGGTTAAAAAAATTGTCATTATGTGATGTCAAACATTTAACACAGACGACAGCTTACAATTTGACTTTCGTAAAAAAATAAAAAATAAAAATAAAAATGCAGTGCAAGTTTATGCCCTAAAATCTTCAACCAGATGAATATTTTGTCAAACACAGAAGACAGCCTATAGTCTGACTTTTGTGGGGAAAAAAATTAATTAATAATGCTTAAAAATGTCCTAAAATGCAAGATTATGCCCTAAAATGTTCACCGAGATGAATAATTTCTGTCAGAAACAATTCTCAAAAATTCATCATACTGTGATGTCACATTTAACACAGATGACAGCCTATAGTATGACTTTTGTGAAAAATTTCAAAAAAATAAAAATGCCTAAAAATGTCATAAAATGCAAGTTTATGCCCTAAAATGTTCATCCAGATGGGTATTTCGTGTCAGAAAAAAATCCTCAAAAATTCGTCATATTATGTGATGTCATACATTTAACACATACGACAGCCTATAATATGACTTCTGTGAAAAATTGCAAAACAATAAAAATGTCATATAATGCAAGATTATGCCCTAAAATGTTCACCCAGCTAAATAATTTCTGTCAGAAAAAAACCTCAAAAATTCATCATTATGTCATGTCATACATTTAATACAGACAACAGCCTATAGTATGACTTTTGTGAAA